AACCAACTGAGCCACCCAGGCGCCCAAAGCTGTTTTCATAATAACACGAAGATGTTATTTGATACAGAAGCAGATGTGTGAATCCAGCTGTCTTCTGTTAAACCAGACTTGTCACTAAATATTTTTTGTTATAAATGTTAACATGTAATGGGTTTGTTGTTATATTTTAGATAATATTGTTCAAATTCCTGGGTTTTACTTTCTAACACAGTGAACATTGGCAAATAATAGCCCATATAATCAGGAGCTCTTTAGTTTCCTCAGCAGTTTTCAACAGTGTGAAGGAAGTCCTGAGACCCTGAAGTTTGAGAACTGTTGCCCTTGAGAAGCTCTTATACACGTGCAGCACATACCATAATGTTCACAGTAGAATTGTTCATAATTGCAAAAAGCCTGGGAGCAACCCAAGTGTCTGTTGACAGTAGAATGAATGGGATATTCGTTTGGGTAAGTATTAACCAGCATTAGTGTGGATGAAAAAACAAGAGTGTGGGAAAAAAACAAGTCACAGAATGATATATCCAGTAGCTTTTAAAACATATTCTATATTCTTTATAAAGTTGCAAAACAAGCAGAACTAAACAATATATAGTTGAAGGGACATAAGTAAGCAGTAAAACTGAAGAGGCAAAGGAGTGACTTTTAAGAAGAAAATAACCTCAGAGAAGGGAGAAGAAACGCTCTTGGGAACTGATTTTTAAGAAGCTAGTAATGATCCATTTCCTAATTTCTATGGGTACATAGTCGGGTTTTGTCCAGTAAACTACATAGGTATTTTACATGTTTTTTTATATAGATGGTTCATTTCAGCATACACAGTTAGACGGTAGAAGGAAATATACCAGAAGTTTAACTTTGATTATTCTTGGGTGGTAGAATTACATATGATTTCCATTTTATTTTATATATACTACGATGAACATATTCCCTTTTATAAAGAGGAAAAAAATGTATTAAGTTAAATGTATTAAATTTTAAAAAATACATCAGGTTGATAGTAGCCCTACCTTAAGTGCTTTAAATGCTTCCAAAGTGCAGCCATTTAGGAAATTTTCCCAAAACAGTAAGAGTTTTAATGAGTAAATGATTGAGTTGGTGTTTTAGTTAGGCTTCTAATGACTAGTCTAAATGTTCACTTGACACACAGGCATAATAAAAACCATACTTTGTTCTTCACCTTACATATGTTTGAACTAGTGCTTATTAATAGGATAATGGAACATAGCCAACCTATGTCTAGTCTTTGAAATTTACTTTGTCAAAATAGAACTGAAAAGTCTTTAATCTTAGCATTTTGTTCTTAATAATTTTTTAAAATTAAGGAATAACTAACTTTCATGGTACTTACTACTTTGTGCCAGGTACTATTCTAAGCACTCTACATGGATTAAGTCATTAAATCCTCATACGATTTTATGAGGGTTATTATTTCTATTTTACAAGTCAGGAAATTAGCATAGAGAATAGGTTACTTAAAGCAAAAATTAGTCAAGTCTCTCTAGATCTCAATCCCCAGGCCTTCGGCATGCAGCAAAGCCAGCAGCTGCACCACTTGGCTCCTTTCATGGTTTGTTGCATAACCATTTGAGAAGGATTACTTCTGGATATGAAGGCTAATATCCTGTATGTCTCTGCAAGTACCATATATTGATTAAAGTGAAATGCTATAATATAATTAAGGAAATGATTGCTAAATTCATAAAAAGGTAGAATGGCAGCACAGAATATTGTCTGTGTGATTTGTATAGATATTGATGTTAATAACTAAATAACTCACAGGTTTTAATTGATTACATAACCTAAACTACATTAAAGAAAAATAGTTTTCCACACAAATGGGCCCAGTGATATTATGGAATGAGATTTTGACAAAATCTCTTCCATCACCTGAACTTAAAGCCTAAAGTCCTAGCATAGGATAAGTACTGTGTCATTCCCTATCTGCAGAGGAAACCTAAGTGGAGGCTACTGCCAATTGGGTGTTTTACATCAAGAATCTTGATTGTGGGGCCCCTGGGTGGCTCAGTTGGTTAAGCGACTGCCTTCGGCTTAGGTCATGATCGTGGAGTCCCGGGATCGAGTCCCGAATCGGGCTCCCTGCTCGGCGGGGAACCTTCTTCTCCCTCTACCCTCTCCCTTCTCATGCTCTCTCTCTCTCTCTGTCATTCTCTCTCTCAAAAAAATACATAAAATCTTTAAAAAAAAAAAAAAGAATCTTGATTATGTTATACATCATTGGAGGAAGGTCCCCTCTTGCAACATAATACTCATTATACTTTTTTCCCTCCATAATGTTGAAAAGGTATTTGCTTCACTAAAACACTAAGGAACTTCCAGAATGGAATTGAATGTTGAATTTTATTTAGTTTTCATTGTTTTACAAATAGGGAGTATAGAGCTGGAGATTTACAGAAACAGCTAATAGTGCCCTATCGTTAATTGATGGAGAATTAGAAGGTTTAAAGAATATCCCTTGGTGGTTGCTTGGCAATGTGAGAGGTTAAATGAGAACTATTTTGGATCCTGTCAAGAAAGAGAAATATGGAGAATTCCTACTTTTGTTATGTTTGTGTGTATACATATGTATTTGTGTGTGTGTGTGTATGTATGTTTTACTGGTGTAGAGGGAAATGGAGCAAACCAATCATTAATATTCCTGTAAAACAGGTAGTTTCCACAAATCTTATAGGGATCTTGGTGGTGTCTACGTACATTTAAACTATTCATCTTATCTTTACTTCCTCCACTTCAGATCTAATATGTATGTTAGAATTTACTCTGTGGTCTGGAAGTCTTGAAAAACAGAGTCTTTGTTTTGTGTGTTTTCCAGGTGGAGGAAGAAGGTTATTTTGAAGCATTCAAAAATGAACTTGAAGCTTTCAAGTCAAGAGTGCGACTTTATTCTCAATCACCAAGTTTTCAACCTATGACAGTTCAGAATCATGTTCCCCATTCTAGTGTGGGATCTATAGGTTTGTTAGAATCCTTACCACAGGTAAGTTGGAAAAGTAAATTTTTGTTTTGTTTTGTTTTTAAACATTTATTTATTTGTTAGAGAGAGAGAGAGCATGCACACAAGGAAGGGGGGAGCGGCAGGCAGAGCAGGGAGAGGGAGAAGCAGACTCCCTGCTGAGCAGGGAGCCTGATGTGGGACTCGATCCCAGGACTCTGGGATCATGACCTGGGCCGAAAGCAGACGCTTAACCAGCTGGGCCACCCAGGCATCCCTAAATATTCTCGCCTCAGAAGATAACTCTTTCATTTCATGCCATGTTTTGGCATTAAATCTCTTCCATCTCTTGGGTATTTAGAGAGACACCAGATTCTACTCCTTTAAATATAGAAGAGATGAGTTGTACCTAAGCACTCTTAAGGGCAAGTGTTACCTATTAATCATCTCAATCATAAACTTTTTAAGATGGCTCCTGAGGAACATCTCATTCTCAGCAAACTGTACTGTTAAGAATTTCTTGGGATTGGGGTGCCTGGGTGGGGCAGTCAGATGAGTGCCCAACTCTTGGTTTTGCCTTGGGTCATGATCTTGGGGTCATGGGATCGAGCCCAGTGTCATCGTGGAGTCTGCTAAAGTTTCTCTCTCTCTCTCTCTCTCTGCCCCCCGCC